ATGCCACTCAGGCTTGGGGACTTGCATTGCATCCTGCAGACAGGGGACCTCAGGGTTTGCAAAATGCCACTCAGGCTTGGAGACTTGCATTGACCTCAGAGTTTGCAAAATGCCACTTGGACTTGGGGACTTTGCATTGCACCCTGCAAACAGAACCTCGGGGTTTGCAAAATGCCACCCGGTCTTGGGGACTTGCATTGCAGCCTGCAGACAGGGGACCTCAGAGTTTGCAAAATGCCACTCAGACTTGGGGACTTTGCATTGCACCCTGCAAACAGAACCTCAGGGTTTGCAAAATGCCACTCAGGCTTGGGGACTTGCATTACACCCTGCAAACAGAACCTCAGGGTTTGCAAAATGCCACTCAGGCTTGGGGACTTGCATTGACCTCAGAGTTTGCAAAATGCCACTCAGACTAGGGGACTTGCATTGACCTCAGAGTTTGCAAAATGCCACTCAGGCTTGGGGACTTGCATTGCACCCTGCAGACAGAACCTCAGAGTTTGCAAAATGCCACTCGGACTTGGGCACTTGCATTGCAGCCTGCAGACAGGGGACCTCACAGTTTGCAAAATGCCACTCAGACTTGGGGACATTGCATTGCACCCTCCAGACAGAATCTCAGGGTTTGCAAAATGCCACTCAGACTTGGAGACTTGCATTGACCTCAGAGTTTGCAAAATGCCACTCAGGCTTGGGGACTTTGCATTGCAGCCTGCAAACAGAACCTCAGAGTTTGCAAAATGTCACTCAGGCTTGGAGACTTGCATTGACCTCAGAGTTTGCAAAATGCCACTCAGGCTTGGGGACTTTGCATTGCAGCCTGCAGACAGAACCTCACGGTTTGCAAAATGCCACTCAGGCTTGGGGACATTGCATTGCACCCTGCAAACAGGGAACCTCAGGGTTTGCAAAATGCCACTCAGACTTGGGGACTTGCATTGCACCCTGCAAACAGGGAACCTCAGGGTTTGCAAAATGCCACTCAGTGCCACTCAGGCTGGGAACTTGCATTTGACCTCAGAGTTTGCAAAAATGCGCCACTCAGGCTTGGGCTTGCTTGCACCCTGGCAAAAACAAAACCTCACGGTTTGCAAAAATGCCACTCAGGCTTGGAGACTGCATTGCAGCCTGCAGACAGGGGACCTCAGAGTTTGCAAATGCACCCAGGCTTGGGACATTCGCAATTGCAGCCCTGCAGACAGAACCTCAGAGTTTGCAAATGCCACTCAGACAGTGGGGACATTGCATTCCCACCCTGAGACAGGGGACTCAGGTTTGCAAAATGCATCGGACTTGGGGACATTGCATTGCACCTGCAGACAGGGACCTCAGGATTTGCAAAAATGCATCAGGCTTGGGACTTGCATTGAACCTGCAGACAGGGGACCTCGGTTGCAAAATGCCACCCGGGCTTGGGACATTGCATTGCACCCTGCAAACAGAACTCAGTTTGCAAATTGCACCGCGGCTTTGGGACATTGCAGTTGCAACCCTGCAAAAAGAACTCGGGGTTTGCAAAATTGCCACCCGGCTTTGGGGACATTGCATCTGACCCTGCAAACAGGGACTCAGGTTTGCAAAATGCACTCGGACTTGCGGGGACATGCATTGCACCTGGCAAACAAGGGACCTCAGGGTTTGCACAAATGCACTCGGACTTGGGGACCTTGCATTGCACCCTGCAAACAGGGACTCAGGGTTTGCAAAATGCACTCAGGCTTGGGGACATTGCATTGCACCCTTGGCCAGACCGGGGACCTCAGGGTTGCAAATGCCACTCAGGTTGAGGGACATTGCATTGCACCTGGCAGACAGAACCTCAGAGTTTGCAAAATGCCACCTGGGGGGACTGCATTGCACCTGCGACAGGGGACCTCAGAGTTGCAAAACACCCGGACTTGGGGACATTGCATTGCACCTGCAGGACAGGGAGACCCTCAGGTTTGCAAAATGCCACTCAGGACTTGGGGACATTGCATTGCACCCTGCAGACAGGGGACCTTACAGTTTGCAAATGCATCAGCTTGGGGACTTGCATTGCACCCTGGCAGATCAGAACCTCAGAGTTTGCAAATGCCTCGCACTTGGGACTTGCATTGCACCTGCAGACAGGGGACCTCAGGTTTGCAAAATGCCACCGACTGGGAATTGCATTGCACCTGCAGGAACCAGGGGACCTCAGGGTTTGCAAAATGCCACTCGGACTTGGGGACATGATTGACCCTGAAACAGGGGACCTCACGGTTTGCAAAATGGGCCACTCAGGTTGGGACCATTGCTTGACCCTGCAGCAAGGGGACTTCAGGGTTGCAAAATGGCACCTGGACTTGGGGCTTGCATTGCACCCTGCAAACAGAACCTGTCGGGTTCAAAATGCCACCTGGGCTTGTGGACTTTGCAATTGCAACTTTGCAGACGGTCCACCAAGGGTGCCACCACCGTAGCGGTTGCAATTAAACGCTTTGCGTTGCAATTCGGGTGCAGTCGTTGGGTGGGGAACTTTTGGGGACCTCCCTGCCACCCAAGCTCGGGACTAGAGCCGGCAGGATCTCTTCT